AAACCCATTAAAAAAACCCCAACAAAACCAGCAACCAAAAACCTCTAACTATTCCTCTCTCCTCCCCCCCAGGAGAAGATGGACGTGCCCAGCTGCCAGTGCCTCAACTACTGTCTGCTGTTGCTGCGTAACCTGTTCCACATCCGGCCCAACAGCACGCCCAACAGCCAGGCCACCATCGCCCACCAGTGCTTGGTCAGGTGAGCACATCAAACAGACACAAACATCTGCATGGCCATATCAGATCAGATCAGACTAGATGAAAAACATAGGGGAACTGCTGCTTTTTCTTTCTTCGTCCATACTATAGTCATTAATCCTCTACTCTTTTGTATGTTTGTCACACTCTTGTGACCCGCTAGTTCCGGGGTGCCTTGATGGTTGAAGCAGACTTTGTGCTGGTGAGGCTAGAGAGGTGAGCAGAGTAAACCTGATTCCCTGCAAGGACTTTTCTGTTGACATCCACCATTTGGCGTTCATATGACCGTATGCAGTTGCAAGCGCTGTAAAACCTTACTGAAACTAAAACTAAAAGAGACATTTGTGTAGATTCAAATGTCCTGTAACTATGTTTGTCTCTCCCCCTAATGATTGTTGTTTGTCACGTTCTCAGGCTACATTTTTCCCAGTCCATGAAAATTGTTAATGTACGGGGGGGCCAAGGGCCGTTAAAATCAATATAATCCTCTTGAAATCTTCTCATCCTGTGAGATTCTTAACTGTCTTCAGAGAGACTATTTTTCAGTTTCCCCCAGCTCATTGTCAGAATCTGCAAATATAGCAGGGTTGACCAAAAATAGCCTGTTTTTAAAACCGTGTTGGTTTTTTGTGGTCACTAATCCCTGACCTCATGCTGAGTGCAGATGGGCTCACAGGGGAGAGAACTATCGTGAGGGTGGGGAGGATATTCAAGTAGCGCGCTAAAGGTCAAGTTGCGGTCTCTTTTACTTTTAACATTTGGTCATGGGGTTTATATGAATTCTGTTATTGACTTTACCCATTTTCCTGTGTGTGTTTGTGTGTGTGTAAAGGGGCAGAACTCTACCTCTGTGGGAGTCATTGTTGGCGGTAAGGTTGATGGATTTGTTTTTTTGTGATTGTCTCCACAGTTCCTTCTTCATCAACGAACTGGACCAAGTCATACTGGCCATGCTGAATCACAAACTGAAGGTAAGACAAGTTTAGACAAATGGGATTTCATCTTTGCCCACAATTTTCTCCTTTTTGATACATTTATCATTTTTTAGAAAGTAGCTGTTAAGTGCTTAGAGCATTCTCTATAGCACGGATATGAGCTATATATAAATGCAACTATATTTATTATTATTATTATTATTAT